AAAAAAAAAAAAAAAAAAAACATTGTTTTCGGTTTTTGATTTTTAACTCATGATTGGCTACGAATTTGAACATGACTCCAAGGCAAACGTTTCTTGTATTATTATTTTACATAATATATATATTTTTCAGATTTTTCTGAGAACGTTTTTTTTTTTTTTTTTTAATAATTTTTATGTTCGCGTTCGAAGGGTTTTGGCCGCTTGTTCGGGTTCGGGCGAACATGTTCGCGTTCGCCTCCGAACGCAAAAACGGTGCTACGTAGCCGCCTGCATACCAAAAATGATTCGATGTTTTGAAAAACTTTAATTATGTGTGCACCACAGAATGAGTTCAATTGGAATAAGGCAAAGAAGGTCAAAAGGATTTAATTTTCTCCCCATGATTGACTTTTTCTATCCCGAACGACCTTATCTACCTATACCTGTCCAAATGATTCTCGTTGTCTATCTTCTTCAGTTTCTTTTTCATATAAGTTACGCAAAACTTATGAGTAATAAGGATAAAAAAAAAAAAAACCTACTCGTGGGGAACACCACCTTTCTCTCGAGGAAGCATCCAAGACGGGGGTTCGTATGCTTTCGGAGTCGGCCCTGTTAACGACTTGGAGTGAACCTGATTCGTCGGGGGTGGTACTCTGCCGACTCGGTGATGACGGCCCAACCTCTGAGATCCGAGTATTCGGGCTCGGGCGAGGGGAAGGAGTATCCACAGGAGCACTTCCTAGAGGAATAGGAGCGTGTCGGAGACAGAAGAAGCTCCAACCCACAAGAAGAAGTAGCTAATGAAGGTGATGGTTCTCCTTCCGCACTGATATCGACTGCAACTTTGATTTGAATAACCTAATGATGTAGATGGGTACTCCATCATTCGTGGAACAGAAAGAGTAATTATTACCCAGGAGGACAAAGCGACCAACAAAATTGATACGCGCCTCCGGCTAAGTCATATATGTTGTGGAGGTGTGGTCGAATCGAGAGTTCAAACTTCGGCCATGAACCAGATCACTGGTTGATCTGCATGGTAGCAGTGAAATTTACTTGCAGAAGTCATTCCTGACAGGGTTTAATAGGTGTCAACAGACCCAACCGTAAGTTAAAGGTTAGGTTGTCCTTCCTAATCTTTCATCAGTATCGAGTCTCCACCTTAGAAGTGGCGGAATCAGTCATAAAGGCCGAGAAAAATAACTTTGGCAGATCATCTCATCAAGTCAAAATCCAATCTTGTGTGATTGGATATAAAGTGTATTGATTTTATTTATTTATTTTGTAGTCCGAGAGTTATAAAGGGACTAGTTTATATTGTGGGTTTCACGTTTGGTTGAGACTGTCCTAGTCGACCGACGTTCGTTCGTACCTAGGAGATCAGCGCCCTAGGGGACGGACAACGTTCGGATCCACTTGGCGTTAACCAAGCGTACCTATACTCTAGCGAGCGAGCAAATGTCCTCGGCTGACCTACCTCTGCAATTGCATGTAAAAGCTTTCGCACGTGGGTCAGTAGCTCGGTAGGGATACGCCCCTGAGGGTGGTGACAACCCCTTAGGGAAGGTAAGATGTGCCCCATGAAAACCTATCCTGTCGTAGTACAGTTGGCGCACCCGGCTAGAGCGGCGAAGGGACAATGCAACCACATCCGTCTCGGCGGTTCGCGGGATTATTTATGCATCGTCCTAAGTTGTCTCTTGAATTTGATTTGTTTTAACTCCTGCGTGACATAGCCGGGACGACCCTCGCTCACGCGGCGGCCGATGCGCTCGACAGCGCGAACGTCCGTCAGTCGAGTCGACCTGATTTGTAAGTCGGTCCGGGAGATCAGCGCCCTGATGCCCGATGCGTATAAGGGTCAGTCTTAGGCGTTCAACCGCGCGTATGCCTATGCTAAGGCGATCGAGCAAATGCCCTCGGCTGGCGTACCTTTGCGATTGCAAGTAAAAGCCTTCGCACGTGAGTCAGTAGCTCAGCAGGGATACGCCCACCTAAGGGATGGTGACAACTCC